AATTCAGATTAAAATTTATCGCAATTTATCAAAATTTATCATAATTCAGAATAAATTCACTGCAATTCGGTAAATTTATGAATATATTTTTTTAAACAATTCGGATTAAAAATACTAAGCAATTTGATATTCTAATCGGCGTCGATCGGCCTGCCAATCGGAACTTTACCTAAATTAATAAATCGGCCATCTTTATCACCAAATTCAGCCTAAAATCAGAACATCCGATTTCTAGCCGATTTGGACTATTTCGACCAGTGTGATAACTATTCTTATTTTATTTTTTTAGATTCAGTGGGCTTCCGAAGAATAATGAAAAACCAAGATTCGTAAGTAAGTACAGTCAAAGCTCGTTATAGTGAATCTCGTTATAGTGAACATTAAGTAAAATCGTGTTATAGTAATCTATTGATTTTTTTCCTTATAATTAATTTCTTTCGATATAGTGAATTTTCTTAATAAATCTCATTATAGTGAAAAAAAGGGAAAAAATTACATAGTGGAACAGAAAGTTCACTATAACAAGCTTTGACTGTACGAATCTTGGTTTTTTTTTTATTTTTTATTTTTATTTTTTATTACTACGAATGGTTTACTAATAACCGTTCTTTTCTTTTTGTAGGTTTCAGGATCTTTAAAAAAAGTGGAACCAAGATTTGTAAGTATGAATCTTGGTTTATTTTTTATTTTTTTTAATATTATTATGAACGGTTATTAATAACCGCTCTTTTTTTTTCTTTTTTATAGGTTTGGTGTCTCAGGTGGGTTCTGATAAACAGAAAAAACCAAAGATTTGTAAGTAGAATCTTGGGGTTTTTTGCTTTTTTTTAATATTATAAAACGGTTACTAACCGTTCTTTTCTTTTTTTTATAGTTTCGATGGGTTTCCAAAAGATCAAGATTCGTAAGTATATACGAATACATGAATTATGTGATTGTGGAATTGTAGATTAGCAATGCTTATTTGTAATATGCATTTATAAATAAAGTTGTGATTTTATTGCGAATATCAAATAAAATGAATTGTGGCTGAATATTAGTAAATAAATTTAGTACAAATTTGCAATATAAATTAAGTAACATTCGGAAAACTATTTACCAAAATTTGCTATCTGAAATTGTTCCGAATGTTAACTGAATTTTGGCCGAAATTTCAAGCCGAACTTTAGGCGAGTGGTAGCGAATTGCAGCCAAAAAATCTGCTAAAGTTCAACCAGCATTAGACCATAAATCAGCCTAAAATTGGCTGGCTGAATTTTGGCCGATTTGAACTATTTTAACCAGTGAAAGTTACGTAAACAAATAAGCTACAGCAAATCAAAGAAAGATTTTGCGTATATAATAGAAAGATACTACCAGAACTGAGTTATTATGTGACATATACGTCGTATAAGAACATAGTACCTGATCATATAAGAACGATACATTTGCACTGGAACTTTCATGAACAACATAACGAATTATGCACGATCATGTAATCTATTGTATTATAATTCTAGTTTTATGAGAAAGTTGCGTAATAAAAAATATATACTAGAATATGATTACGCAAATTAATCAATATTAAATTATAATAGTTGTACTACTAATTAATACAGTAATCTATCTTTTAAAAGGTATTCCACTGATACCTGATTATTTTGATCAGCATTTACACGTGATATTGTGATATTAGCTGATTTTCTATTGAAAAAATTTTTTTCATCTTTGAAAACACTTGGCTGACTTACAGCTTGTAGTAATTATTCAACAACCATTTATGAAAATATATATACATGACATATTGACATATGATCAAAATGTCAAGCTACTCTTTGCTATTTTAAGTACTTTCTCCATCTGGTGGCGGGTAGAGGGGATACTGTATGTTGAATCAATAAGCCAAGTTTGGTCTGCCTCTACACCTCTAAATTCTTGTTCAATGTCAATATATACATGCGGATTCTTCTTAAATTCTGAATATTTTTTATTATTTCTGGTAGGAATCTCAACATTCTATAATTTGAGATTTAATTCATTCATTACTCCAGTATTGCCTTGGTTAATGCGCCAGAATATTCTAATTACAGAGTAATATGAATTTTATTAATCGGGATACATTTGGTGAGAAATGGAAGAGTATTGTCAGAATAAGTTGGGATGAGTGGACAAAACAATGCAGAAAAATTCCATCAAATTTGATAGTAGATAAGGCTCATCAATCTAAATAAAATCAATTCTGGGTGACTGTTAAAAGTCTCCTTCAAGAAGTATATTATAATGATTGTGATCTATAGATATAGAAGTTATAACTGTGCAGGACTCATGATTCCTGCCAAATTACTGGAAAAAAATTGCAAAAGTCTTATTGACATCAATTTTTCCCAAGGCGAGTTAAAAGCCTATATTAAGAATTACTGTAAAATGCTTCCGAATATATTCAAAAGGTAACAGAGGGACATACAGGTTTGGTTCGCCACATTTTGGAATCTATAGAAAATGCATCATTAAAGAATAAAATTGATGAAAATAATATTCAAATACTTAAATTTGAAGGAATTTGATTTATCTATTTATAACAACTGCCGCATTGTACCAAATGTTAAATCACTTAATAGGAAACAATTAGAGAAACTTATTTAAAAGGAAAAACTTCTTTCTCAGATGATGAGGATGCCGTGTATTTAGTTAAAACTGGAATTCTTATGGTTGTGGAGGATAATAGGTATTTAACTTTTGCAGCACCCCTTTTTAAGCGGTCATTTTTTCAGCAAAATTACGGAGTTGGCAGTAGTATTGATATTACTCCCACAGATTTGAAAATTAATCAAACTAATTGGTGATGATTTAGTTAATATTGAGAATAAATTAACCCAATCAAATTTATCATCATCATATGTATTAAAAACTAATTCATTTAAAATTTACATTTAATTAATAATTTTTTAAATTCCGGAAAAATTAAATCAGCATTAGATAATAATAATAATTTAAGATATTCAAGATTTGGACAATTCTGATAAATTGCTTGAATAAGTCTTTCTATATTAACACTATCACGATATATTTTAATTTTAACAAGATTTCCTTTTGTATTTTCAATTAAATTTGCTATAATTTTAGAAGGAATTTGTCGAACTTTGAGGATTCTTAGAATAGGAAATGGCTAATTTATTGTGAAGAACGTGTCATGCTCCAAAGATTTTGATGCGTTTAAAATAGAGAGTTTGGATAAAGAAACTGTAACTATTAGGTTTCAAAATTAGTTTATTATTCAATCAGAGAAAGTAATATGTAACACAAAAAACACAAAAAGCAAAGTAATAATAAAAAACTCGAGAATAAGTTACGTGCAATGCTTATTTTGATCTTATAAAACATGAAAAATCAAAGTTTTTATTACATTTTTTCGTAAAGTAATACATTAGAGAAAAAAATAAGTTTGGAGTAGCAGATGTTTCAAGGGAGGAATAAAGCATAAAATATGCCTCCCCGCCTCTAGACGTTTTGCAATGTAATAATGGCAGTTCCTTCCCGCTACTCCATACTACCTATTGGTAATTTTGATAATACTACTGCTATTACTAACTACACTCTCGGTTCCATCCCCTCCTTCTTGATCCATGATATGATTTTATCTATTGATGTCTTTCTTGGAATTCTTTGATGTCAATAGAAACTGGCCAATGTACCAGGACTAAGTCCGATTTCCGCAGATAATACGGTGTACATTTGTGAAGGAGAACGCTTCTCCTTTTTTCTTCTCTGGTCGAAAATTGCAGTGAATTCGATCTCAGTCTCTTCACTGTACTCGGAATACTGACCTATGGTTACACGCATTAGCCTGTATAATTAATTTTATGTTTATATTTTCACTTTATTAAATTGAAACTAGCATAATCGGGTGCTGAAGAAAAAGGACGAGCATTTGACATTAATATAATTGCAATAGCGAACGAAGTAAATCCTTTCAATGTAATACATCATATAATAAATTGTCTTAATACCAATATAAATATTCCGTCAAATTTTAGCGCCATGATTCCGTAATTATGGTTCTGTGTGATTTTTATACTCATTTTTCACATATATCCATCTTCAAAATTAATTAAAAGAAATTTTGTTTTCAATACATTTTATAAAAATAACAACAAATTAATTCTCCCCAAATTCTGATAAAATTAATAATAGATTAAATTTTAAATTTTGTCAACACTTTCCCATATCTGTTTAGAAATTAAATCATCCACCTTCCAAATTCCAGAAGAACCTTTACTTTTAATAGGATTATCTAAAACTTTAACATCATCAATCATCCAACAATAATGCTTTGTTTTACATGTACCATCATCATCCTCCATGCTCTTCCAAACGTTATCATCCGGCACGTCTTTAGCTTCTACACAATTAAAAAATTTTGCTAATCCAATAATTTTACCACAATTTTGTTTCATCACTTCCACGCTAGGTAAATCCGACCAACATTGATACTTTATTATAGCACAGGTCGAATCTTTTGGTCCAAGATTACGTTTTGATTGTGAAACGTGAATTGCTATCCAGATTCCATCATTAGTTTTAGAATTAGATGCAGAGATCAACTGTTGAATGTCTAAATAATATGTTCTATTTTCTAAACGTTTTGGACCATGAATTATACATGTTGCAAAAGGTTCTTGTATTGTAAGTGCGTAAAGTGTCGGAATTTTTAAGGAGAGCGAAGATTTCGAAGAAGAGCTTGCCATTTTGTTAACACTAATTTTTGGAGGAATACTTTCGTGATAGTAATTGATAGCATAACAAAATCAACCAAATAACGTAATTATAACTGTCGCCATATTTTGAAGATCCTCGATCTGCAGTGCATATATAAAAGGGACAGCCTTGCCAATCTTTGAATTTTACAATATGCGACAAAACGAAAACTTAGTAATTGAAAGTTTTTAGCTTTATTTGATGAGTAGATTCGTTAATCATATTGTGATATCTGAGATTTAACACATTTCGGTTAAATTATATTTTAGGTTGGAGAAAAAGTTATTTTGGTTCCATACAAACCTGAACATGTACCTATATATCACGAATGGATGCAATCTTCTTTTCTTCAAGGTATTTGATTTTTTAATGGTATTTATTTATTTTATAAACAAAGTTAATTGTTAAATTTTGAAGTTAATTAGAAATGACAGCATCGGAACCATTAACACTTGAGCAAGAATATGAAATGCAAAGAACATGGCACGTTGACAAAAACAGTAAGTTTTATAATTTATTCATTTATTGATTTTTTTAAAAGATATATTTAATAATTTTGTATTTTTCCCTCCCCTCCCCACAGAATGTACATTTATAGTGTTGGTAAAACCAGAAATATCACATGAATTAACAAATCAAGAAATAAAATCGGCAAGTAAGAATAACTTGGTTTATGATGAATTTTAAGAGTACATTTCTATTTTTCTTACTTTTTTTTGTGATTTCAGAAATGGTTGGTGATGTTAATTTATTTTTTAATGATATTGAAGACCCAAACGTTGCAGAAATAGAAATCATGATAGCGGGTAAATTAATAGCATTCTAATTTGATTTTTAAATATAAAATATTTTAAAATAATTTTTCTTTCCTTGTAATTTATAAAAGAACGGTCACACCACAGATCAGGTCTAGCTACGAATGCATTATTGTTAATGTTTAATTATGCAATAAATATATTAAATGTAGCAAAGTTTACAGCAAAAATTTCTACAAAAAATCAATCATCAATACAATTATTTACAAAGAAGTTCGAGTTTGTAGAAATAGGGTTTTCCGAAGTTTTTCAAGAACATTCATTTGAACTAAATGTTAATGAAGAAACTAAAGAAAAGATAAAGGAGGCAGTTAAAGGTAAAATTGCTGAGAGAGTTTATGATGAGATGTGAAGAATTAGGATGAGGATATTGAAAGATATAATATAATAAGTATAGTATGTATATTATGTATATCTTTTTTGTTATCTTTCGATAAAAAGACTGATCCAATTAAAAAGTATCGATTTTAGAATCATTATTTAAATTTTTAATGAACTTTTTGAATGCAATAATCTGATAGAGAGATGAGAATGTTTTTATTAAGTATTTATACTAATCTCAGAAGAATACTCACTGCCTAGTTAAGTATGATCGCTCGTTAAGATGCTAGCATCAGCTAAATTCAAAAGTATAAACAATTGGAATTAAATAAATTCTATTTTGAAAAAAAAACAATGGATCGATACATATAATCTATAATGATCATAACAATCGTAGGCATTAAAGTGGTTATTTGGAGAGCTAAACCAGCTAATATTATTAGGTCAATTTGATTAGACAATTTACGGATAGAAGCAATTAAATAGATTCTATTTTGAAAAAAATAATCGATACGACAATGGTAGAGCTAATGTATTAGGTTCGATTTGATTGGACAATTTTACAGATCGACTTTAAAAATTGACCAGAAATTTGAAACAGATTAGATTCTTCGAAATGTTAATCCCTCTTACACACTATAGATTCAAGTCTTTGTTAAATTTTGTGAAAATTACATTTTTGGTAAATAAATCTCTCAATCCTTCTTACATACCATATATATTACTAATTTTTTTTATTGACTTACAAATATTATTTATAGATAAATATAAAAGGTAATTTGAGTTCGACGCATTTACCATTCTAATTGGCTCGAAAATGATCTCTTGAACTTCTTCATTATGTAGAACCAAAATAAACAGTCTATTTGCCCAATCACAAGTCATGATATACTTACCTAAATAAGAGCTTTTACTAAACTACAATAGAGCGAAATCTACTGCGCCTTATTTTATCGTTATTTATATGCAAAATCTTTTTTCTTTTACAAAATTCATTCTTTTTTTCGATTAACTCTTATGTAATCAAAGGTTTTATCCCTTTTTATACCTTTGACAAAACTAAAATGGGCAATGCAATTCATTTATAGATGCTTATTAGGCTCATTTATATTCGGTGAAAAATTCCGTCAATTCCCATATTAATAATAATAATAATGAGTTTATAATAAAATTCTGAAAATGGATTTCATTGATTTATTCATTTATAGAAAAAGTAATGTAAATTACAATTATTTTGTGCTTCCTTAAAATTGATCACGAGCTGACTTTATTGGTTAATATCGTATTACATTATGAATGTTCTATGATTCTATCGATAAAATTATACTTTTTTGGTATTTCCTTTTTATCTCAATATGAGCCTCTAAATGAAATCCAAAATTTTCATAGGGTGCGATTTATTTATATTTTTTGGTACTTACCAAATTAAGTATTTTATTGTAATGAATTCTAAATTTATCCTTCAGCCCAATTTTAAATTTCCTTTTATAACAGTAAGAGTTCAAATATAAATAATTCAACTTTATTTATACATGATCTCTTACAGCTTTTCCTTGTTTACAAATATGTAAATTAAAAAAGGAAATCAATAACTTACAATAAGTTTATAAACCAACTCTTTTTCTTTTTTCCTTGTTCATATTTCATTGATCCGTCTCCAAATTTTCCGTATCTGGAAATTTTTAAAAGAACTTAAAGGCTGACCTTTGATAAGTAAATATCTCGTGTCTATTTTTCAAATATTTATTTATGATAATTATGATCTGATTGACTTTAATTTTTTCTTTTTTCTTTTTTTTTTCTCATTGTTGATTTTTGTTATCACGATAATTAAAATTTTTTCTTGGTTTTTTTTTTTTTTATTTTATTTTTTATATATATATACATATATTGTATTTAGTCATTATCAAATTAGAACAATCAATCATATTAGAAGATGGGTTCTACTATGCATGTTATCGCCTTAATAGATCAAAAATCGCGTCAGAATGGCATTGAATATGGTATGGGTAGATTTAGATGTGAAGAAGGTCAATTTGGAACATTCCTATTTAAGGTACTTCCAAGTGCGAAAGTGACTAAATTTTGTCATCCTTTTTTTGAGGGTGATGTTGTTACTTTGGTGGGCCAATTTTCATATGAAACTGTGGATAAAGTAGAAGGATTTACGGGATTTACGGTAATTTTATTATTTTATTAAATCATCATATTATTATCCTTATTATCCTTATACTTATTCTTATCCTTATCCTTATTATTATTTTTATTATTATTATTATTATTATGATTTAATAATATTAATAATAATTTGGGAATTTTTTTTTTTTTTTCATTTTTTTTAAAAAAAATTAGTTGAATGTTTCTGTTGCAACTCCTTTCCCAAAACCATCATCAGGTTGTTGGGAACCTGAAGAGATACCACTTTCATCTCCATATTTAAGTTTTAACACTCAACCTGTTCCTGGATCACTAAGACAAATAGAAAATTGTCAATTTATTCGAACAAAATCTTTAATTAATAGTGGATATACTAAAAAATATACTGAATCAAGATTTAGGATAGGTTATCAAATTGATAATGATAGATGGGATAATAATATTGCTAGTAATTGGGATTCTTATCCACAATTTTTTATATCCGGATTTTTTCTTTATGTTGATAATGGAGAAGTACATATTGAAGCTACAGAAATTGAATTAGATCCATTAACTAAAAAATATGGAAAAAATTCAAATTTATCTTCAACAAATTCAACTGTACCAGGTGTTAGTCCTTTAGCAAAAAATTTGGCTAAATTACTTGAACAAGAAAGAAATTCTTTTTCAACACCAACATCAGGGATATTTGGTAAAAATTATCTTGAGCAAACTACAACAAAATTATCATCAGAAAAAAAATCTTTATCATTACGACCTTTAGCACCTAAAAATGCTTCAAGTTCATTACAACAATCACAAAATCAAATTGGTACACAATCAGATCCAACAAATACGGAATCTATAAAAGATTTATTAAAAGGTTTACAACATCATCTTCAACGTATTAATCAAATACCTGGACAAACAAATTCACATATGCCATTATTTCAACATACACCTTTATCAGAGCAACAACCATCAGCTGAACAAATAGCTGAATTGATAGCTGATCAAGGTACGCGTCAAGACTTAAGCCCACTTGTCGCAGGAAACCAATCTAAAGTAAGATTATTTCATCTAAATTTATGTTTCATATCTTTTAATACTTTTATATTTGTTTAAATACTCAGATTTTTATCCTGTTTCGGTACGGAATTGGCAAAATGATCAACCAATTTCTCCACAGCTTCCATCATATTCAGTTTGGCCATTACAAGGTCAAGAGACAGCTATATATCATCGGGATAAAATTTCAATGACATCACAAGTTATTAATCAAAATGAAAGAGAAAAATCTTTAACACAACAAAATGAACGAGATAAACAAACAACTCAACAAGTTACGACAAATCAACAAGAATTAGTAAAAAGTCCTACACAATTTGTTTCACCTCAAAATGAAAGAGAATTAACACCATCTCAAATTGATATAAGTAATAAAAATGATTCAGTTAGGTCATCTAGAGCAGAATCCGAATCAGGAGAATCAATGGATCTTGATCAAAGTAAAAAATCGGGTAAAAAAAGTTCATCAGATGATAAAACAAAACCAGTACGACCAACATCTAGAGCCACATTAGGAAATAGATTTATTGTATATGAACCAAAATTCGTTCAGGAAACTGAAGGAAATAAACAAGATGGAACTTCAACAGGAAAAAGAGGACGTAAATCTAAGAATACGAGTACTAGTCGACCTACCAAAAAAACTAAAAATAAGAAAAATGTTAATGAACCAGATACAACCGCAACGAATCAAGAAGAGCAAGCGATAGATTCTACGAATGAAAGTCCAAAAAATTCTACAGATAAGGATTCATCAGAAAAATCTAAAAATGTATCAGTAAAATTAGAGGAAACAACATCAAATGATAATGAAGGGAATAATATAGAAACAGAAGTCGAAAATTAAAATACATGATAAAAAAAAAAATTAGAAAAGATATTAAGGTAAAGTAAAATGAATTATTATTTAATATTATATATACATATATTCTTTTATTAATTAAAAATAATATGAATAATTTTTTAGAAACCTTTTTTTTTTTTTTTCTTTTTTTTCTTCTTCTTCTTCTCTCTCACTTTTTGGATGATACTTAATTTGGTAAATAATTGATTATTTTCACTCTTGTCATATAAATATAGAAATTTGTTTTAATCAAATATTTACTTTCAGTAAAGTAATTATATACATTTATAAAAAAAAAACACCTTTCCAACGAATCTAAATACTCATGAATTAACGTTAACGTTAACCAATATTGCATTTTTTTTTCTTTTTATAACCAATATTATGAATTAAACCCATTAAGATTTATTTCATATTAACTTGTATGAAAAATTTTTTAAGTTAAAAGATTAGAAAGAATAAAATTTCAAATTTAGAAAAAAAAAAATTATTTAAATATGATAGGAAAATAATCATAAAATTCGAATGATATAAAAAAAGTAGCACCATAAATTATTTTGAATAATTCAATGAAAATGCTAAAAGAGTTGACTTATATAGTATGCCAAGACATAAAATTTCTTTTAAAGTTTGAAGGGAGAAGGTGATACATGTGAGATAAAATGGCGTTTTTATTAATGTATATAACGAAATAGTACTTTCTATCTAAACCCAGTATAGTGATGTAGTGTTTGATTGATTGATAATACGGGGGGAAAGATTATTTGTTTCAAAATTTGACTTTTATTTATTCGAAAAACAACTAAAATCTTGGGATGGATTTTTAACTGGATAATTATAATGTGTAAGAATTTAATTAATGTAATTGTTATTTACAACAAAGGATTATTTATCCTTATTACTTACTTACTGTATTATGAAACAAAGATTATAAGATCTGACATGTTGTACTAATAATACAAGTTTTGTGTGATCTAATTTTAATTTTTATTACAAAGTAGGTAAAAAATTCTATTGTTAAAAAAAATTCTTTATTTTGGAGTAAAAAGAAAAGAAAATACAATGGAATCTATAGTTCTTTTTAAATTAAGCGATCATATTTATTATTTATAAGTTGAAAATAATTAAAGTTTTATTACCAAAAAGAGTGATAAAGGTAAAAACGTGAATAGTATAATTAATCAAACAACCAATTTTGGTTCATAAAACGTGCTTTGTTCACTGTAACATCTAGTAATAAAAAAGGTGACACAACATTGAATATAACAAACGCATGACGTAGTTTATACCCATTTTAAGATTCGAAAGCGTTTTGAATTCTTTCGATCTTTGTCAAAATATTGTTTCAGATTTATTACAAATCTAAAAAGATTTCTAGAATAATTTAATATAAGAACCCTCAACTAATGAACTTTTTTTTTTCCTTGAAAAATTATTAAATCATTATTTCTAATTGACCATTTGCTTTTTTCCGCTTATTCCGAAATCATTGATTGATTTCATCGCTCATATAATTACAATTAGTCGCCTGGTGCACTATAATTCTATAATTATACCATTTCACACATTTCATATACAAAGATTACAAAGATTTTTTTTTTTTTTACTATCGAATTTTTTCTTACGAACTTTCGAGAGAGAGAGAAAAAAAAAAATTAATAAAAAGTAATAATAAAAGTAATAAATATGAGCATGAAACTCAATCTATTCCTTATTCTTCTTATCGTTGCTTTAATTGCTTTTGTAGCAACTTCATCTTATGCTGCTCCATTAGACATTGAAAAACAAAATGATATGAAAAACAACAAAGACAACAGAAACAACAATAATATGAGAAATAACAACAAAAATAACAGAAATAACGATGATACCGGTGATAATAACGGTGATAATAACAGTAATAACGATAATATGAATAACGATAATAGGAATAACGATAATAGGAATAACGATGATAAGAATAACGATAATAATGATAATAACAATAATAACGATAATAATAATAACGATGATAATAATAACGATGATAACAATAATAACGATGGGAAGGATAATAACAATAATAACGATGATAATAACAATAATAACGATGGGAAGGATAATAATAAGAATAATAACAATATTTGTAAAAATTCAAAGTTGGATAAAGGAGATGGTACTCAAAATCCTGATGGATATTGTGTTGAAACTGTTATGGGAGAAATTCCAAGTGTTGATAATATGATTTCAACTTTAATAATTAAACCGGCCGATGGATCTACTATAGAAGCGAAAAAGAAATTTCGCATTGATACTATTACTGATAATTTAATTTCAGGATTTTTTTCTGATCCGGTTAAAGAATATTACGTGAAACCTCAACAATTAAAAAATGGAAAAATTCTTGGTCATTCTCATATAATTGTTCAAAAATTGGATGATAACAGAAGAAAACCTTTAAATCCCAAAGTATTCGCTTTCTTTAAAGGATTAGATCAACCTGCTAAAAATGGTATACTCGGTGTTGATATTAATGATGGATTACCTGCCGGTGATTATAGAATTTGTACTATCGTTTCTTCTTTTACCCATCAACCAGTTATAATGCCGATCGCTCAGAGAGGTGCTCAAGACGATTGTATAAGAATAAAAGTTAGGAATTAATTATTACTTTCATTATTTGTGACGGATAGATAGATTATACTTTTCCTTCTTAATTTACTTTCATTATTATTTGTGACGGAACTTTTTCCTTCTTAAACTTAATAGATAATTAGTTAATTTGTTATAGCGGAATGCAAAATTGGTCAATTAGAAATTACACTTAATTATTATTATTTTCGTTCGTTTTGTATATAACTCCTTACAATACGCACAGGTGCTTGATCCATTATATTAGTACATTTTTAAAAGTACCTATGTACGTATAATCACACTCCTTTTATGATTCACGCCCTGTTTATAAAATTCATGATTACCGAATAGATTAATTACTATTGTAACAACAAAAAAAAAAAATTCCCACATAATTATTATTGTACTCACTCAATAATATAATAAAAAATTTTTAAATAGATGAAATTATTTTGATGCATGATTGATTACGTTTTTTAAATTTGAAATTTTTATCGTGATTATCTTGATGTTATTTTACATTCTAATAACTCTAATAACTTTGATACAAATGTAATAAAAGTGACTCATAGTGGATAACTTCGAAGATAAGAATCTTATCAGTATAAAATTTTGAATCCATCATAAAATTTTTGAAAAAAATTTTGTTCATTATTATATCGTTGCGTAATAAACCTAATTTAGACATATGAAGTTTCTTAACATAAATGGCTATATTATCATGGCGTAGTTATATTATGGTACTCATTTTTTTTTGAAACTGAAATTGAATTGTTCTCAAGCTCATTATTGACTACCTTTTATGGTAATTATTTCGGTCATACGGCTTGACGTATGAACCGGAGAAACTTTGGGCAGTCAGAACTAATTATGTGGAACAAATATTAAACATATGATATTATAATATGAAATTAGAAAATATGTAATAAATATAAAAAATATGAAACTATTATAAAAAGTATGAAACTATATAAAAATATAAAAACATGGAATTATTATAAAAAAACATGGAATTATAAAAAAACATGGAATTATTATAAAAAAAACATGGAATTATTATAAAAAAACATGGAATTATTATAAAAAACATGGAATTATTATAAAAAAACATGGAATTATTATAAAAAAACATGGAATTATTATAAAAAAACATGGAATTATTATAAAAATACATGGAATTATTATAAAAAAACATGGAATAAATATGGAATTATTATAAAAAATATGGAAATATTATGAAATTATTATCGAAAATATGAAATTACTATTGAAAATATGGTTATTTTAAAATATTCATTTTATTTAATAAAAAATTAATTTATTATTTGGAATACAAATCTTATTATTTACCTCTGGTATGGTAATGAAAATATTAGATTAACAAACACCTCGTGTATATTAATTTGTATAAACAACAGATAAATGCAAGTAACCCGAACGGCCGAACACATATCCCCCATTAAACATGATTACTTATTTTATTAAACAATATAATTAATAAATCATTTAACGAACAAATTAATAACTCATGCTTAAATTTTTGAACTTTCTTGAAACAATTCATTCAACTCTTTGCATATATTTAATTTCCACTTAAATTTTTAAAGAATTTAATTAGTTTTCGTATCTAACATTGTGTCCCTAAAAAAATTAATTTTATGCAAATAATGCAAATAATGTATATTGTTAATTGTACTTACCAAATTTGGTCACAAAGTGTGTGCATACCATCAATATATAAAAGCTTTGAATATTTTTACAAGATTCTGTGTCAAAATCCAAGTCTTCGAATCCTTCAGTCTCTTTAGTCTCTCTCGTCTTTGAAAGACAATATACTACACTCCTTTTTTTTCTCATTAACCCTCCCTTTCATCATTCATTTTTAAAATAGCTTTGAAAGCTATAATAACTTTCTTTAATATCAAAAAATTCTACAAAAATGGTTGCGATCAAATTAATTTTTGTTTTCCTTGTTATAACTACTACGGCATTGGTTACTGCCTTCAATCCACAACTTATGCTTAAATTGGTTAACGATGAACGTAAAAAAGTTGGAGCTTCACCACTCACTTTAGACAGGTAGATATTTTACCACACTAAAATTTATAATTAAAGAAATTTCGCCGATTAATTTTTTTTTTTTTTTCTTGTAGCAAATTGACGTCAGCAGCTCAAAAGCATACTGATTTCATGGTTAAAACTGATACGCTTACCCACGATGACGATGCTGGTTCGTTAGGTGAACGTATTAAAGCAGAAGGTTATAACTTCAGTAATGCCGGAGAAAATATCGCTGAAGGATTTGGTACGAATGATGAAGCACGTGTCATGAAAGCGTAAGTACTATTTTTAAAATTAAATAATATATATTAATTATAATAATCTAAATTTTAATTGGAATTTATTTTCATTTTAACCAAAAACAGTTGGATGGGATCTAGCGGTCATAAAGCAAATATTCTTAACAAAGCGTTCACTAATTTAGGAGTCGGATTTGGCGGTGGAAAATATTGGACTCAAGTTTTCGGTAAACCGTTAAATAGCAGAAAAAGTAAACGTTTTGCTCGTAAAAGATTAGTTAGAGAATAAAACTAGAATAAAATAATATAAATAATGAAATTTACTTTTTTTTACCTAGTGACGCTTATATGATGTCAAAGATTTTATGATCCCGTGACATGTTTTAAAATAATAAATAATTTAATAAACACAAAAGTAAATTATTACTAAAAATAGATTATCAGTGGTGTATTCATTATTCATGTGATACATGTGATGAACTAATAGATCAAAAAAAAAACTGCGGTTCATTACTTCTGTTAATATTGTTCCTTACGTATTTCTTATCAAATTTTTTATTGTACAATGCAAATTTATTATCAATTTTATGGTAAATCTTTCTGTTACCCGATTCAAATATATGATTATATCAAAAATATGTGTATTGGCGCCTTTTGCATTTTTTTTTTCTTTCTTTTATTATTTTCTTTTTTTCTTTTTTTTATTAGTGTTTCTCCAGAGTATACAAACTTTTGTTAAAATAGAACTGGAACATATTCTTTTTAAATTCTCCGTATTTGACAAGGTATTGCCGAAAAACTTCGGAGAACATTTGCTATCACAAACTCTATTTTTTAAGAAAATCTTTTTTGATTGATAACACAGCACCGCCTTGTGTTTCGTAACAATTGCATTTCTGCACTTCTGCACGTCTAAATAGAATGTGAAATAGTAAATAATTTGATCAAACGGGATATAGCCGCCGAAATGTATTACATAGTAATTAATTGGCTAATCTTTTTACGGGGCATGCATAATATTTGGTGATCAACCAATCAATATCATGAATTATGTTATTGAAAATTTTTTTCATCCCTTATATAAACTAGGCAATCCCCCCAAAAACCCAAAAAACCCAAATTTTTTTTTTAAAAAAAAAAATCCTTTTTTTTTTTCCAAAATATATTTTAGAAATATTAAATCAAATAGAAAAGAAAAATATTTCCCCCCCCCCTTCTTCTTTACAACAATATAAAAAAAATATTATATTAAATATTAAAAAGTATTTTAACTCTTAAAAATAAACTACTTGAATTGTGATATTAAATTTTTTTTTTGCGATAGTAAAATTAAATTATTTAATTATTTTATTTTATTGGTTGAAATATTTTAGTATAAAATTTTTTTTTTTACTTTTTTCAAAATGGCTTTCACCGTCTAAATCATTCCTCAAAGCTCCCTCGCTTTGATTTTAATACAACATAATAGTTATTATTTTTTTTTAGCTTGCCTACAAAATGGCTGCTCTTTTTAACAACCACATACCTTTTCAAAATGCGTCCCTTAATCAACCGTATTTTATACGTCCCTTTCGTTAATAATTCTCATTTTTAAACATTCGATTTTTTTTTTCTTTTTCTTCTCATTAAATAATACCAAGCATAATATTTAATACAGATTTTTTCAAAAAAAAAAAAAATAATAATAATAATAATAATAATTATGATGTCTCAAGATCAAGGTTTTGTTCAATGCGTTGACCCCGCGTCAACTGGGTCCCCTCAGGCAAAATCTGGAGCGTACGACTCCTCTGATTTCATCGAGTTGTATAATCTTGTTGCTGGAAATGACCTCCTCGCAAACGATCTATTCAATCAAACCTACGACTTCTCTCCAGAATTGACTTCTTCAATGACAACACCTTCTCTTATATATGATGTTTCCACTCCTCAAGATTTGAATGACTCGCCTCTCTTTAATGCTCCTTTTATGTCAAGTCCGTCTCTTGACCCTGCAGTTGGCTTTTTCCCTGATCTCCCTAATGATCATAATGCTTCTAACACAAATACAAGATCTTTGATGCAACTTTCTTCTACACCTTCTGTACCTTCTTTACCTTCTGTAAATATTCCATGGACCACTGACGTTACGACCTCCTCTTCGACCGATAATAATGTTCACTCTTCATCTACATCACCTTCTGTTTTATCAAACTTTTCGGATGTTAACTCTCCGGTACTCTCTTCTAATACTACGTCATCAGCTTCCACTTCTCCGTTAACAACTTCATTAAGGACTCGTAATCGTAAGAGGTCTGCTAATGAAATAGATAAAGATCCAATAATTGTGGCTGATGAATTGGCTATGAAACGTGCCAAAAATACAGATGCTGCTCGCAGGAGTCGACTTCGAAAGGTAAAGAGAATGGAAAGTCTTGAAAAGGAAGTAACGATACTCAAGAACGAAAATATTGATCTACAAACTCGTATCGCTGTTTTGGAAAGTGAAAAGAAGGGTTTAGAAGATAAGAACGCTGAAAAGGATGCTAGGGTTAAGATGATGGAACAACGTTTGACAGAAGCACATGACAGATTAGTAAAGATCAATAATACTAAATAAATAGGAAATTATTAAAGACATGCGTGTTACCAAAAAAAAAAAAAAAAAAAAAAAATTCAAAGCATTTTTATATATATTTTATGCAATTTACTTTTTTTATATATATATATTTTAGTAAGAAAATATGCATTTTAAATATTTTTGTTAAATAAATCATAAAATTATTTTTTTACTTTAGTGGACAAAATTAACGTTTGTTACAATTTACATAAATACATATTTACGCCCTTTTGGTACATATAAATTACGAGCAAAAGTTTCCTTGAAATCCATGAACATAAAAAATTTGCGAATTGCGATTAATAAATACTATTACTAAAAAACAATAGAACCATAAATTAATAGGCTATTCTATACCTGCTATCTGCTGGAATAACTGAAGCTTCTTTCGCTTTTTTCCAAATTGCTGAAAATAAAAACAGAACGCGGTTTAATTTATAACTCCACAATATTTACTGAACAACTTTACTTATCTTCTTTCTTGTTTTCTTTAACCAAAGTGATTGACCAAAACACTAAAATTGCATTGTGAAATCTCTAGCTGCTAGGTTTATTAAAACTTTTAATAAATAAAACAGAGATTAAGATTTTAATGATGAACCAATCAAATTTGAGGGTCTATCACATCAATACTTGGTTTAAATTTTTAGATGCGCGTCGAAGTCTTATTCTCGAGTCTCATTTAATAGTCATTTAATGCTACTTGTATAATCATAATATTATTCTATTAGCTAAAGTACTAAAGATCTTTTTATTTTACTCTTCCTTCAAATAATACAAATAATACGCAAACAAGGTTTACTATTCAAATTAAAAAAAGACCAATTATTGATTAGACATTTTTATGAACACAGACAATATCCCATTGCTATTTTGGGGAACTCGACTATTGATTAATCACCAATAAACGAAAGTTGGCGACTTGGCGTAGAAATATAGAAAGATTCAAAAAGTACCAATACGACTTTTACTGTTGTGGTTGATTTCAACTTATTTATTCAAGATTTCAAGATGGATCAGATGCAACAAATATTCGCGAGGATCTCGTAGCTAAATATAAGAAATACATAATGATTCTCCTTCAAGGTTTTTAATCTTTTTCGTTTTTTTTAATCTCTTTTTTTAAAAAAAATAAAAAATATATATTTAGTATTTATTAATCTTTTTTAGAACATTTTCCCTACAGCATAACATACACTTGTTCATTCACCTGTACCATCAGTATTTTACAATTAGAACAAGATATAAGCAAGCAAATGAAAGGAATTGAATCGGGATCTATTCAAAATAGTTTGATAGAAAAACATCGGGAGGTAAAGCCATCATTTATTTCTTGAGATCGAATGTTGATTATAATCGAGCTGCTTTAGCAAGTGGACTAAAGATCACAGAGGATAAAATGTTGTGAATTTGTAACCAGACTTTAGCATACCAACGAAAAACCAATTGGCAAATTGGTAATTGTTAGTGAAAGTTGTGTCTCTCCATCACCTTTACAATCGGATACTCACTTGTGATACTTCATTCAGAGGCCTTTCTTTTATTTTTTATATTTTTTATTTATTTCTTTTATTTCTTTTTATTTTTTTATTCCTTTATTTCTTTTATTTCTTTTATTTCTTTATTTCAGATTTTTATCATATATTATTTTAAGATAGCCTTATTAATTGTGTATTATTATACACATATATTTTATATTATATTTCTTGGCGTTCCCTTTATTGAGATGCCCACCTTACAATCTTAAAATTACATTTTTATTATACAAAAGAAAATCTTAAATCTAAAGATTTTTTAACATCTTTATTAAATTCCGATTCCGTATAATTTGTATCGGTAGTCACGCATTGGAAAATTTGGAGGCTTATCACATATTCTACAGCTATTTCAAAATAATCGCTCAACAGATGCTGTAAAATGTGTGATAAATAAGAACTGGTTTGGAAGAGTGATTTTGAGGAGCTAGACTTCGGAGGCGGTTGAACTTTACTTGGGTTTGAAGCGTTTGGAAGATCAGTTTTGAGCAACAAATATTACGATTCGTGGTTGTCATGGAAGTATAAGTTCTTAATCAGAAGTTATATTACCAAATTTGACATCTCTAGTGTTTTCCCATCAGTCGTAGTTAATAATAAGAAATCGGCCTACTTTATGTGAATATTCAGATTTATATATACTTATGATACAGATAAAGAATTATTTTTTTTTATCTTTCATATGATAAATTTTATTCAAACATCGAGATAGCCTCATATATTAAAAAGAATGGAAGAAAATGAATTTGACTAATTTGACTTCACCTTTGAAAGAACAAACCGGAAGTATCAGCAAACGATCAAATCTCAACGGAACCCGTATTGGCAATTCCTATCAAACAAGGAAAGAAAAATACTTGGTTGATTTTTTTTTCAGCAAAAACAACCGTTGGTTTCGGCATCATCCGTAGAAAGATCGGTGGATGGCTTAGTAGAAAAAGCCTTGAAGGAAATTGGAACGGATTGGAATGTATTGCTCCATACCATGTTCCAATACGATATATGGAAAGACAATCTGGCCAATTCAAATCAATATGTTATTTCGTTTCAAAAATGCCATAGAGCAAATTTACAATTAGATAATTCCGTATTGCAAACTTAATAAGTTTGCTGAATCATTAAAAGATTTGGAAGATGTGCTGAATAGTACAATAGCAAATGATGATGATAAATTATTTACAACAGCCGAAAAGGGAGAGTTATACTGTAGACAAAATATGCTTTATGAAGCATTAATTGATTTGGAATATGTATTGGCACAAAACCCCCACACAATTTTATATCAAACTACTATTAATTTATATTCTCAAAATCTAACGACAATAATTTTACTACGAATACCAAATGATTGTCCTGAATATAAACTAGGTGAGAGTACTAATAAAGGGTAATAATATTTACATTTAATTTATTTATTTATTTTAATATCTAATAAAAATATGTATTTTTTTAGTATTTTTTTAAGAGATGTAAGAAATTTACAGATTTCTAGATTTCTATTTTGAAAATATAGAATCGCAGTTTGACACTATTGAAAAAGATTTTACAACTTCAGATCATAAAATGTATCCTGTAAAAGAAGGCAAGAAAATTTAAATATATTAATAATCGTTCTGTTTAGTCTTATAATTAATTAGATTTATATATTTCGAAAATTACAGGAAACTTTTTTATTATAAGACATTCAAATTTACCATTGTACAATATTGTGTTACAGAAAAATCATTTTTATTGAAAAATTTATGAAAAATTGAAAACGTGTGAAAGAGAACATTTTGGATCTAAGAAGATCAAGGTTAGAGAATTTTTTTTCAAAATTGAGATTTTTATTGCATTATATTTTTTGATATGACTAGATTAAAATACAATAACTTTTAAATTTTAACTAAAAATTCTTCTACCTTGACTTTTCTAGATCAGACCCCTTTAATAGACAAAAGGAGAAATTCACTCTCCGAATAAGCAAAAGGAAAAATTGAAAATTTAATAATTTTAAACAAAATTTTTTGAGCCAGTTAGGATAGAATTCCTTCTTTCGAACGAGTGTAAAATGGTTTAATATGAGTATGAATGATGAGACATTTTAATGAATATTAGTCTACGATCAACAAAAATTTAAATCCTTTTTTGTAAGATAATTCTCCATTAACATTTTCAATATTAATATAATAATATGAGATAAATAGCAAAGTTGGGATCGTCTGTCTGGGTAGTTTACTATGGTACATAGGGGAGCCAGTAGTTCATTTTAGTTTGTAACCTTTGTATCGTTCTTATGTATCGTTTACTTGTTATGCTTAATAAATTGACTTACAATCTGAGTTTAAAATAATAATAATAATATGAGGTAAATTTTGAGAATAGAATAAATTAATTAAGGATTCAAACAATTTTTTTTAAGTAAATACAATAATAATGGATGAGAAATTAACCTCATTTCAACGATCAAAATCGGTCGTTCTTTACATGTACTTATCGTACTTATCGAATAATGAATAAGGCTTTTATTATCAGAATAAACAATCTCGTTGTGTAGCCCCTGTATAGGCTCAATTAACCATATCAAAGTTATAATTTTATCGGCTCATTTAATTGATCAATATAAATAGTTCGATTCCTTTTTCGTTTGTTCATCTCTTAAATATTCAAATTCAAATTCAAAAAAAAAATTACTAATTTTATTTATGAATAATAATGGTTTTTGTTATCATTGGAGGTCAGTTTTCTTACATTTTTCCCAATTATTTTCAACAAATTTTATTTCAAATTCATATTCTTAAAATATACACAAATGTATTTGTGAAATCTTTCATATTTCATATTTATATTTTAAACAATTAATGAGAAAACTAGAGTGGCTTATAACGAACTTTTTTCCAACCACGATTTGCTCTCAAAAATCGGTTACGCTGTTTTCAAACAGTATAAGGAAATTACCAACCATGCATTGTGTATACATATTGTCAATTTGCAATTTTTTTTTTCATATTTATATTTTAACTTTTTGCGGAATTAAGCAAGAGTTTACTGTAATAAAAATTAACTGCACTCCATACTAAAGATCCATAAAGAAAAATCGCGATACCTTTTTGTTGGAAAATACCTTTTCTAAACAAAGTTATAAAATTGATTTTATAAGTAAATACAATACAATACCTTTTCCTATTAACAAAAAAAATGTAAGTTGATTGCGTTAGTTACCTCAGAAGAGGATGACGATGAAAGTAATCATAGAGCTATTGCGAAGGAAAAGTTGATGTAATCCCTCTAAACTTCTTATCATGAATTAAGCGACCAATTTTGGCTGCAAACAAGTAATTGATCGATCTTAATTATGATACTTTGTATATATTGCTGATTCGTTAAATTTATATTTACACTTTTTTCTTTTTATTTGGATAGGTTTCGGTCCGACAAAGAGTCGATAGACGTACATATCGATATAGGGAACGCCGCCGGCGGCATATTGATACCACATTAAAGGCATTAGAGTTAGGGTTAGGGTTGGGTTGGTTAGATTAAAAAGTGCCAATTCTAATTGAAACAGAAAATCAAAATCAAGATATTATACTACAACTACATTAAGGTGAAATACAGAGAATTTCAAAAATACATCCATCATATGCAGTATGCACCACTTCATTATGTTATGTTTCCTAGAGATGGATGATCATAATATATATGATGAGGAAATATCTGATAGTAGTGATGAAGATTAAAAAATTTTACAAAAAGCCTTAAAATAGTAGACTTCAACGAGTTTTTAATTCAAAGCATTGAGTGCATGAGTCAATCTATATTGTCGGAATAAAGAGGTTACTTGTATGAATTATGAACAAGTTGGCAGAATGAATGGGTACAAATCTCGCTTGAAGGGTGCAACTAAAATTAAAGTTTCTAACAAATGCAGTTTTAATTATTTTTATTATTTTTGTAATTAATAACTTTGTAATTTACTAGAAACCTTGGACTTAATACCTTAGTTAAAATAAAAAGTTAATGAATTTATAGTGCAAAATTAGTAAAATAATTTATATAATTAATAAAAATGCTTAAATAAACAAAAGTGAAATTTTAAATTTAATGTTAAGTAGATCAGCCAAGTAAAATGCGTTTTGATGAAACTCCATGAAATGGTCTTGCCTATTAAGAAGAGAAAAGGACAATTCACAATTAGAAACTGATGAACAATGTGAAGCTTCAACTAAAGATTGTGAAGGAAAATAACAAAAAAAGAGACTTGGCAGAGTCTATTAATGAACAACAAAATGATCAAGTTCAATGAATCTAAAGTTTCTACGAAATTTTGTGTTGAAATGAAATAAACTCGAACATAAGAATGAACGTTTTCCATCGATTAAGAATATGTAGTTATTATTAGAGATAAAATTATTTTAAAAAATGTTCTTTTTAGCAAAAAATATGAATCCGAATGATGTTGAAGGGATTCAGTATCGATATCGTGAACTAGTGCTTAAGTAGCTCGGAAGTAGTTTATTGAAATGGCTTGGTTTAGGTATCATTTTCTCTTATTAAAATATTAGTAAATCTCGTTTATAAATAATCTTTTAGCCAAGTTTAATTAATGAGGCTAAGCAATTCAACTTGTCTATAACGAGAAATCTATATTTTTAATTGTTAGGAACCGGGTTCGAAACCGGGTTCGAAACCGGTTCGGTTCTAAAGTAGTTCGAAGCAAATTGCACATTTTGTAGATCATTTTTTCTTTATAGACAATTAATTAAATTTATCATCAAATTTTTTAGGTAAAGTTACTTATTGTAGTAAAGTAATTCGACTTATCTGTATTTAATAATTTCAAAAATTGTTCAAACGTCCCTATCGTGAACAAAAAAATTTTACCAGTTCATGTTGTGCAACGTCAAATTTACAGAAGACCATCACGACGCTTCAGATCTATAACGGATTCCGTCTCCTAGTTGTGTGAACTTGAATGGTTATTAAAATTGATGTAGTAAAAAATTATTCATATCGAATGATTTTCAAATAATCATAGTATGAATAGTATAAAGTAAAAATCATCCAATTCTTTGATCCGAGTTGACGGTCAAATTTTCTTCAATTGTTGAAAATTTAGAGTTGATTTATTAACAAGTGTTTCAGCAGTTAGCCAGTTATCTATTCGTGACGTAGCTCCCCAACCATACCATAGCTTTATTAGCTGTAAAGAAGCGAATTAAAAGTTAAGCTAATAGTTATCATTAAGATAATTTTAAAGGATGCGGTTAATATTTTTCTGGAAAGAAAATTATAGATTATGGCTAAGTTTTACGGTAATTAACATGTCAAGATACATCCGAATTGTCATACATTTTTTAAAACTAGTTAAAATTCTTGTATAAGTTGATCATGTGAATTTCATCTGTCATGCCCCAACGAATACGGGAACGGACTTGGATTTGATACCAACAAAGTTTGATTTATACAGAATTTACAATCTGGATTTACATCACATCAACTTAACTAATCCGATCCAAAATTTAAAGGTTCATTTATAATTTAAATTGCAGATTGGTCACTCCCAGGTTAAGGGTGAACCCGTCGCAAAAAAAGAAAAATAACCGGTAATTAATTTCTAAATCTTTTTAATTGGTATAACTAAAAAAGTTATGTGCATAATTTCATAATAAATCACATGATTCTTATAATATGTTCAGTTAAACACAAATATTTACAATTAAAATGTTTTTGTCAATAATACAGCTATAAATTAATAAATTAATTTGTCCCCAAATGTTGTGGAGATATAATTAATATTTTTCATCAAAGATTACTTGCGATTTTATTGAGATTTATAGGTTGTCATTTAAAAATAAATAAAATGACATTTCCTTTCCATGATTTTACCATTAGAATTTTTTTTTTTTATAAAAAATTCCATAAAATTTATTCTATAAAAGAAAGAAATATTTCGCGCGGCGCAGTAACATAAAAAATTTTAGGCGGGAAAAAAGTTATCCCCATCAAACACAAAAAAAAAAAAAAAAATTTTTTTAGATTAAACAAAACGAAAATGTTCTAGAATTATTTTATTTCTATAAAAAACATTTCTATAAAAAACACATGGTTCAATTGTTTTAAGACTTTTCGCGAGTAACCTCAAATGGTCTGTGCATGCTTATCGATTTTTAAGGCGTTCTTTTGAGCTTTTCATATGGAGACTTTTCTTGATTCGGTCTGTAATTTTTCGCCATGAGTATTTATTTATATTTTTATAATTGTCTAACTTTCAAACTTTGTTTATATTATTAATAGATAACTTATTTTCTTTTTGAAAATAATAATCGTTTAATTCATTGTTTCGAGTTTTTACGCCACAAATCTTTTTTTTTTTTTTTTTTTTAACTATAATGTATGTAGTGGATCTTAATGATTATCTTGTAAAGAAAGAAAGGCATTATATGCTAAGAATAGATTATTTTAAATAAATTCTATTCTTTGAATAAAAATTCAGGATCTCAGAATTCTCTAATATAGGTCATAAGTTACACTTTTGGTTTGCAAATAACTTGAGCTTGAATTTTATTAATTTTTGCCATAAATTACTTTAAAAAATACAGAGTATTCCTAAAGAA